CATGAACACTGTAGCTGCAAGAGAGCTTGGAAAATTGAGTGTTTAGCTAGGCAGGTGTCTGATCCAAAGGAATCTGGGGCTCAGTAAGAAAGAAGGGAGAATGGAGTTGGGTAGACAACTGGGGGTGACTGCCCCAGGCCGTGCTTGTAGTCAGAGCCACAGGGCGGGAACTGCACCTCTGAGCATTTCCTTTGCTCTGGCTCCACTGATTCCCAGGTTTAATGCCCAGGGATGATCAGGAATTGATGCTAATCAATCTCAGATTCCTGGAGGGGGACAACTCACGCAGTGTAAGGAGTGAAGCCGCCTAGGGAGTGACAGCAGGAAGTAGTGGAGATGGTGCCAGTGGCGAGCGCATGTCCAGGTAAAGGGGCGGCCGCTGCTTGCGTCTTGAGGTGGGTGCCGGAGTTGTGCAGGCGTCCAGTGGCCAGGTCTGCACAGTTTTCAATAGAGGTCAGAAAGCCAGATTCTTTTAAGCTTTTTTTTTTAACTCTATTTTGAGAAAAGTCTAGGGTTACGGAAATATTGCAAAGATCATACAGAGTTCCCATATATCCTTCATCCAGCTTCCCTAATGTCAGCATCTTAAATGTCACACACTTGACAAAACTAAGAAATTAACACTGGTACAATACTGTTAACTAAACTAAGCAGACTTTATTTGGAACTTACCAGTTTTTCCACCCTGTCCTCTTTCTGTTCCAGGGTCCAGTCCACCATTCTGTGTTGCCTTTAATTGTTAGGGGTCTAGCTCTCTTCACTTCATTCTGCAAATTGCTCTCTTCATTATATCTTAAAGATACTTCCATATCAGTCCATAAACGTCGTCATTCTTGTTGGTGGCTGCGAAGAATTCCATGTGTCCATATCATAATTTATTTAATAAGTCCCCTATTAATGGATGTTTAGCTAGTTCCCCACCTCTTCCTAGTCCAATAATACTGTAATGAATAACCTTGTACTAATACTTTCTGTCATTTTGCTTAAGTGGAAGTATAGCTGTAGGGTACAACCTAGAAGTGGTGTTTCTGGGTCAAAGGGAGTGTGCACCTGTAATTTAGATAGTCGTAGCCAAATTACCCTCTTTAGAGGTTGTGCCAATTTCCCTTTCCACCTTTCCAACAATGTGTGAGATTATTTCCCCACATGCTTAGCAAAAATGTGCTAGCATTTGTTTTAATCTGATTGTATAAAGTGTACTTCATTGTTTTAATTTGCATTTCTTTTATGAATGATGTTGAGCATCTTTTCATATGTTTAAGAGCCAGATATGTATACCTTTCCTGTAAACATTTTTTATATCCTGGACCCATTTTTCTATTAGATTGCTAGTCTTTTACTTAATTAATTTGTTGGAAATATTTTAGGGAAATTAGTGCTTGGATGAGAGTTGCAAATATTTTTCCCAGTTTATTATCTGTTTTTTCTCTTATGATGGTTTTTTACCATATAGAAAGTTTATATTTTTATGTAATCAAACTTACTAACCTTTCACCCATAAAGTTTTTATGAGTTTAGTGCCATGCTTAGCTTCTTCCCACCTCAAGACTGCTTTTGTTTTGTTTTGTTTTGTTTTTCTTTTTGCGGACAATTAGCCCTGAGCTAACATCTGCCACCAATCCTCCTCTTTTTGCTGAGGAAGACTGGCCCTGAGCTAACATCCCTGCCCATCTTCCTCTACTTTATTACAAGGGACACCTACCGCAGTATGGCATGCCAAGCGGTGCCATGTCCGCACTCGGGATCCGAACTGGCAAACCCCAAGCCGCCAAAGCAGAACGTGCAAACTTAACCACTGCGCCACCGGGCCAGCCCCAAGACTGCTTTTATAGTTCATGTGTTTTTTTTTAATAGTTCATATATTTTTGTTTTATCTTAAAAATTTAAAATTTATTTGGGCCTTGTCTTGGTATAGGGTGTGAGATAGGGATCCAGGTTAATTTTTCCCGATGCTTCTTGGTTGTCCCAATACCATTTATTGAAGAATCCATCTTTTCCCTTTGATTTGAAGTGCTGTCTTGATAACATATTAAAATTCCATGTGTGTTTGCATCTATTTATGGACTCCGTATTCTCTTTTATTGCTTGTCTATTCATGTGCCTGTACCACTCTGTTTTAACTACTACAGCTTTACTATAATTCTTTTTATTCCTCTCCAGCTAATTCCCTACCATGTTTGCAAGAGTGCTTTTCCCCAGTCTCTTTGCTTTCTTCACATCCCATCTTTACTCTTAGTAGACAGCTGTCCTTCTACTTGATTAACTAGAAAGAGTGGGGCCACTCCATATGAGCTTCAACCCTCCCGCTCCCCAGCTGCTATGAAACTTCTTTGTCTTTTCCTCATCCTGCATCCTTGAATTATTCCCTTCCCATCAATCGTCCTGCCTCAGCTTCCCCCTTGAATCTTCAGACTGTCTTTCTCTGCAGACATCTCCTCTGTCCACAGCTTACTTGACTCTCTTCTGGTCCAACAAACCTCTTCCTGGCTTTGCTACTTTCTCAGGCCAGCATCCTCGTGTACATTCCTTTCCTTGACATATTTACCAAAAAATTAGTCTCCATTCACTGTCCCAGCTTCCCCACTACCACTTATTCTTTAGAGCCCAGGTTTCCATCCCAATCGCTTGGCTGAAACTTGTCTCACGAGGTCATTGATGACCTCACAGTCACTGAATCCAGGCAGTGTGTGTCAGTTTATCAGCCTTAAACTCTACAGCGTTCAAGACACTTGCCCCCTGCCCCCTGAAACAGCCCTTCCCTTGCCTCTGAGACGCTCTGCTGTCCAAGTCTCTCCTGCCTCTGGCCACTGCCCCATTGTCTGCGCTGGTGCCTCTTCCTCTCTCCTTCCTCGACATGTCACTCTCCTTTGGTGAACTAAATCCCTTTCTGTGGCTGTCACATCAACAAGGATGCCCCTAAATCTACAGATTCCCAACTCCCAAGCTCTTAGACTCTGGGGCGGAATTTCCAAACTGCCTTTAGGAGACCAACTAAGAGGTTATTGTGTCAGTCCAGACGAGGGAAGATGAAGACCTGATGCAAAGGAGTAAGAGGGGATCATTTACTGTCAGCTGCAAGTTGCCTTGCTGTGAAGCAGTGCTTCTCAAGCTTGGCTGCACATTACAGTCACCAGAGGAATTAAAAATAAAGATCTGGAGCCAGCCCTGATGGCCTAGTGGTTAAAGTTCAGCGCTCACTGCCACGGGGACCTGGGTTTGCTTCCCAGTCACAAAACCGCAGCTCACATAGAAGAACTGGAACTACTTACAAGTAGGATATACAACCATGCACTGGAGCTTTGGGGAGGGATAAAAGAAAAAAAGAGGAAGATTGGCAACAGATATTTGCTCAGGGCAAACCTTTCCCTGCAAAGAAAATAAAGATCCCAATGCCCAAGCTGCTCCCCAAACCAGTCAAATGAGCATCTCTGGGGATGGGCCCAGACATCCATATTTTTAAAAACTCCCCAGTGATTCCAGCATGCAGCTGAGTTTGCAAGCGTAGAGCAGGGTGAAAGGGAGGGAGGAGTCTCAGTTGACTCCTGCCATTTGGCTTTGATAAGCAGATGGATGGCCGTGTGGGTCACTACAGTAGGGATTGCCAGAGGAAAGGCGGGTTTGAGGGAAGATGGTGGGTTTTGTGTGGATAGGTTGAGTTGGAGCTGCCTGTGGGCATCCAAGAGGAGTCCCACAGACCTTGAATCTCCCTAAAGCGGGTCTTTCCTGCTCCTGCCGCAGGCCTGCACTGCTGCAGGACAAAGTCCAGGCACACTCCCAGTGCTGGGGCAGTTGAAGTGCGCCTACCTGGACACAGCTCACCTTCCCAGCCGTCCCTCCAAATCGGCTCTCCTCCAGCACCCCACTCCCTAGCCAATAGGACTCCTCACCGTGCTGCCTTTGCGTCTTTTCTCATGCTGTATCACCAAGACGAGTTCCGTGCCATCTCTGGTCAAAATCCATCCCACTCTCGGCTGGCCCCGTGGCCGAGTGGTTAAGTTCGCCCGCTCCGCTGCGGGCAGCCCAGTGTTTCGTTAGTTCGAATCCTGGGCGCGGACATGGCACTGCTCATCAGACCACGCTGAGGCAGCGTCCCACATGCCACAACTAGAAGAACCCACAACGAAGAATACACAACAATGTACCGGGGGGCTTTGGGGAGAAAAAGGAAAAAATAAAAAAAATCTTTAAAAAAAAACAAAAAAAAATCCATCCCACTCTCAAGGCATCTCCCATAGCACCTCGTGACCTTACCACCTCTGGCTGTGGGATTTGTGGACAATATTTTACTTGCTAAAGGTTGGAACTGCCTCCTCCTGGGTGATGTGAACAAGGGGGTCACCACCTAGTAACCCCCCTTGGCAAGATTCCAGCACAGAGTGCTTCTCCTCTTGCCTGATGGCTATGCCTTTGAGGATCTAGTTGCTGATCTGCTGTCAACTGTGAGCCCACCAGGCAGGGGGTCCTGTCTTTTTCTCCACACCCAAACACAGAAAAGATAGGACCCACTCCCTTCAAGATTTGTGCCTTAGGGGAGCAGTGATTCTTGGGCCTGAGCGCTGGTGGGGACAGGTTGGGAGTTGGGAGGTGTGATGCACAGCAGGATCTCCAGGGGGACTGGAGAGGTTTAAAAAAGCCCCTCAGGTCGTTCTGTGTGGCTCCTGTTGACTCAGGAGGCTCAAGAGCAGGACACAGCACAGGATGCAGGCAAAGGTGGCAGTGTAGTGTGTCACCCTATCTGGTTCACGGAGACTGCTCTCAACTCCACAGACCTGCTGCAGAAGCCAAGTGGACAAAGGGTGGGAGGGGAGGTGACTTCAGATGCAAAGAGTGGAGACCATGGGCTAGCGCTGCGGGGATGAGGCCTTCCTGCTCTGAAGGGGCAGGGGGACTCCCTCCATCCTGTCCCCCAGATGGTAGCCCTCAAGCACGCCCCACTCCCATCACCCTCTCCACCTCTTCAGCACCTCCCCTAACTTCTTCCTGTCTTCCCCTTTCCCCAGGCTGGCGGGAACTGCCCTGGAGAAGTCCATCTGCATTCAGACCTAGATGATGCCAGAGCTATGACCGGGCCTGCAGGCGTGGTGCCGAGGGGAAATCAGCCATGGAGCAGCCACCGGAGGAAGCCCCTGAGGTCCGGGAAGAGGAGGAGAAAGAAGAAGTGGCAGAGGCAGAAGGAGCCCCAGAGCTCAATGGGGGACCAGAGCACTCGCTTCCTTCCAGCAGCTATGCAGGTGAGGAGGGGCGGGCAGGGGACACGGGCAGAGGAGGCACAGCAGGGCAGAACAGGGAACCTAGCCCTCTGCAGCAGCGTCCTGAAGGTACAGAGTAGCAGAGAAGTTAAGGACAGGAGCCAGACAGCCTAGATTCACACCCCTGCTCTGTTGCCTGTCAGCTGCAGGACCTTGGGCAAGCTGCACCACTTCTTCCTGTAAAACAGACAGGGATCCTAGGGGCTGCGGACATGGACTTCTGTGAGAACTGAATGAGCTAGTGTTTGTAATGCATGTCACTGTCATTATTGTTCCCATCACCACTACCACAGGGGATCCAGGACCAATCTGCATTAACAGCCCACTAGAAGGATCAGTTGTACCTGGGATTGTTATGATCACTCAGAATACAGAATTCAGTTGATCTGGTGCTAATTATACACATCACCAGCTACATTGTAATTAGGCATAAATACTAAGCAGTTAGTATGAATGACTGTAATTAATAACACTTTTGTGTAGCTGGACAGTTTGTTTTGTTTTGTTTATTAAGATTATGATAGATTACAACCTTGTGAGATTTCAGTTGTACATTATTGTTAGTAATGTTGTGGGTACACCACTTCACCCTTTGTGCCCTCCCCCCAGCCCCCTTTTCCCTGGTAACCACCGATGGGTTCTCCATGTCTATATGTTAACTGCCACCTATAAGTGGGGTCATATAGAGTTCGTCTTTCTCTGTCTGGCTTATTTCGCTTAACATAATACCCTCAAGGTCCATCCATGTTGACGCAAATGGAACAATTTGGTCCTTTTTTATGGCTGAGTAGTATTCCATTGTGTATATGTACCATATCTTCTTTATCCAGTCATCAGTTTCTGGGCATTTAGGTTGGTTCCACGTCTTGGCTATTGTAAATAGTGCTGCGATGAACATAGGGGTGCAGGGGACTCTTGGGATTGCTGATTTCAGGTTCTTAGGATAGATACCCAGTAATGGGATGGCTGGGTCATAGGGTATTTCTATTTTTAACTTTTTGAGAAATCTCCATACTGTTTTCCATAGTGGCTGCACCAGTTTGCATTCCCACCAACAGTGTATGAGGGTTCCTTTTTCTCCACAACCTCTCCAACATTTGTCACTTTTGGTTTTGGATATTTTTGCCAATCTAACGGGTGTAAGGTGATATCTTAGTGTAGTTTTGATTTGCATTTCCCTGATGATTAGGGATGATGAACATCTTTTCATGTGTCTCTTGGCCGTACTTATATCTTCTTTGGAGAAATGTAGCCAGACAGTTTTGAGCTTCTCTTGTCTTGCTTGTTGGTTCCCCTTTATTTATCTGCTGTCAGCAACAGTGTAGACATTTTTCTCTGGTACCTTGTACCATTCTGTCCCCATCTTCCTCATCATCATCGTGCTGTCCCCACCGTCAAGGGCACCCCAGAATCCGTTCCTCAGCCCCTGGCCTTCCCTGCTGCTGCTGTCACCCCTTCCCTGCTCCCTGTCCTGTCCCCCACCTTCTTTTCTTCTTCCTCCACCTAAGTGCCAGCACATCCAGCTGATCCTTGCTCCCTTCCCTGGAGTGAACTAGGATTATGAGAGGATGTACTGCCAGGAGGGGACATCCTGATCTTGCTGCTGGTTTCAGCTGAAGGAGATCCTGGCCACAGGTAGTGATTCAGGGCAGAAGAGTAGGCCCAGCCCACAAGGATGGGCTCTGGAGAAGGAGGTGGATGGTGTCAGAGTTCAGGCAGCGCGGGGGCTGTTGAGGTAGGACAAGCTCCTGCCTGGGCCTGCAGCAGAGAGACCCAAAAACTTGAGCCACACTGCTTTGGACCTGCGCAGCAAGCCCTGGATTTGCAGAGCTTCTTCCTCTTCAGGGTCCGTGGTGGGGAAGGGTGAAGGGAGAGCCATCATCCAGTCCCTCTGATCCCACCCAGACACCCAGGAATGACCAGAGTAGGTCTGGTGTGATTTCAGGGCCCAAGAGACGGTATCCCCCACCCCCCAGGATAACCGACTCCTTCTTGGGTGCGTGGCAGCAGGGATGGCTTTGGAGAGCAAGCCTTTCTCAAAAGAGAGGAATGGCTAACCAGGAGTGATCTGTCACTCAGTGCTAATACACATACTGTTCTGACCTTGAGACAGGCAAGGTGGGTTAGGAAGCAGAGGGAAGACACTGGGGGCTAAGAATGAGCAAGGGATGTCACTGAGGACACCAAGGGGAGTGAAAGCGGAAGAGAGGGCCACGATTTGTGGGGTTTGCGACCTCACTGTCTGCCCTAGCCCACCTTATCCCTGCATCTGTGCTCAGGCGCATAGAAGTTACCAGCAGAGAATGTCCCGTCCTGGGGTTTCCTACACTCCCTTGTAGGGACCATGTTGCCAAGTGATACTGCTGTTCACATGCAGACCAGAGTGTGGTGCCTGGGCACACAGGCAGGGTGAGGTGGGTGTGGTGATGGTGTCCCCGGGAGCTTTATGGGTGGGATTTAGGACTCACGGGGAGATGTCTGGGGCGGGATTGCCCAGCCACCCTTACAGCCCTGTGTATGATGTGGTGTTTAATAGATTCTGTTTATCAATAAATTGATGAAGGTGGAGGTAGAAAGACTTCCTTGTTCAGTAGTTGAAAGAGGAGGGGGTTGTTTAACATAATCACTATGTGTTAAAGCCATAGTGTGTAGAAAGTTCCCACAAATTCTACTAAACAACCCGCCCAACAGAAAAGCAGAAACAGGCAGTTCACAGTAGGACAAATACAAATGGCCAGAAAATATGAAATGTTTTTCAGTCTACTCGCTGATCAAAGAAGGTATCTTCCGGTGAGATGTCATTTAGCCTGTCAGATTGGCAGAGAGGGCTGTGTTGGCCAGAGGGTGAGGACATGGCCCTCAGCCAGTCAGGGTAGAAGGGCTGCTCAGCAGCACAGGCCAATACTTCAGTGTGCATTCCTTTGGCCCTGCTGTTCCCCGCAGGAATGTATCCCATGTAAATACTCGCTCAGTGTGCACAGAGATTTCCACACTTATTTACTGCAGCACTGTTCACAAAAGCAAAACCTGGAAGGCGCCCATCTGTGGGAAATTGGTTATGTAAACTGTGGGAGAGCTATACTGTGGAATGCTCTGTAGTCATTGAATAGGATAAGGTAGGTCTGTATATACCGACAGGGAAGTAAGTTCCTGACCAACTGGGCATCCCATTGTTTAAAAATCCTTATGTATCATGGAAGGCCCTAGAAGAGTACACACAAAAGACTGGTGGAGCTGGGGCTGGCCCGGTGGCCCAGCAGTTAAGTTCACATGTTCTGCTTCGGAGACCCAGGATTTGCTGGTTTGGATCCCGGGTGTGCACGTGGCACCACTCATCAAGCCATGCTGTGGTAGGCGTCCCACATATAAAGTAGAGGAAGATGGGCATGGATGTTAGCTCAGGACCAGTCTTCCTCAGCCAAAAGAGGAGGATTGGCAGATGTTAGCTCAGCGCTGATCTTCCTCAAAAAAAAAATAAAATAAAAAAATAAAGACTAGTGGGGCTAACTCAGGGGGTAGGATCATGGGTGGAGAGGATCTCTCATAAGATGCTGCATGCCCTTATGTGTTTTTCTCAATAAGCCTGCAGGACTCTCATAATTTAAAAAGCAACTGCATTGCTTTTCTTTACAAGGTTAAAATAAATTAATTATTATTATTGTTGTTATTTTTAAAAAGGCCAGCAGGTAAGGGGCTCTGGAGACAGAGCCTCGTGCTGTGTTGGGGATCACACAGACCAGGACAGGAGCCCCAGGTCTGCCACTGCCAGCTGTGGCCCTCACCAGTGCCTTCACCTCTCCAGTCTCAGTCTCTTCACCTTTAAACGCTGCATCCTGCCCACCTCAGGGCCGGCCGGGTGAGGAGTAAATGGTGGTATCTGACACACCATGGATGTGTCAGCACCTGCTGGTTCCTTGCCCCGCCCCATGAGTCTGTGACTTTGGCCTCTGGAGTCCCCTCAGGGACCCACGAGCTTGTGGTGCAGCCTCGAGCCCTGAACCAGCAGGAAGGCTGCAGAGTTTGCTTGTCTTCTGACCCTCCAGCGGTTCTGCAGTGACCCTGTGCATCTCTCTCCTGAGCTCAACACCTGCCGCCCAGCTCCTCCTCACTCAGGACGGGTCTCACCATTAGCTCTCGGCAGCAAGGAAACTCACGTGACGGGGTTGCCTGGCTAGGTGAGAGCAGGGGCAGCTGGAGCCAGTGTTCACACCCCACTCCTGTCCTCTTCGCCTCCTGCTTCAGTGATGAACATCCCCATCGCAACCGAGAAAGAGGTCAAGGGGCTTAGCTGGGGTCAGAGGAAGAGAAAGTGCCCTTCCTCCTGGCCTTGGTGCCTCCTCTCTCCTAGCAAGCACATGGTGGGTGTCCAGGCAGGTCGTTTAGCCAAGGACAAGGCTGCGTGCCTACCCTAAGGAGCCCACAGTCTAGACGAACAGGGCAACAGAAGTAAGAAGGCTGCTTGATAACCCAACCCCAGAGTCCTGCAGAATTGGCTCTGACTTCAGAAGCTGGTTGCCTGTGGGGTTCTGCCAGCAAATAGGCAGGGCTGGCACCTCCTGGCCCCCCTCACAGCTATGCCAACAGCATCCCTCCAGTGATGGAGACTAGATATTCAGGAGAGCTCTCAACCACACACAGAGGACGGGAATAAAGTCAGGAGTGTCTTATTTCCTGAACTTGTCATCTAAGATGGTGCAGTTAATACCTTACTCTCTGGGTGACGGGGTTAGTGTTTACACTGAACCCAAACATTGGAATGATGGCTTCGTGTCGCCCTCAACAGTGACGTGTCTCATTTATTATAATCACGAGCTATTGATCGGTATATATGGGAAGTGGTAGAGTGCAGTGGGTGAGAGCTCAGTCCCCAGGGTTGGATGGTTCCATGTCACACTGCTCACTCTGCCACTGTATTAGTCGGGCTTTTCTAGAGAAACAGAACCAATAGGATGTGTTGAGAGAGAGAGTTATTTTAGAGTTGGCTCATGCAATTGCGAGGACTGGCAAGTTGAAATTCGGCTGGACAGGCCAGCAGGCTGGAGACCCAGGGAAGCTGATGTTGTGGCTCCAGTTCGAAGGCAGCCTGGAGGCAGAACTCTGTCTTCCTTAGGGAGACTTTGGTCTTTTTTCTTAAGGTTTCAGCTGATTGGCTGAGGCCTACTCACATTGTGGAGAGTACCAATTTAAATGTTAATCACATCTAAAAAATACCTTTACACCAACTTCTAGACTTTTGTTTGACAAAAACTGGGTACCACGGGCACCATGGCCTGGCCAAGCTAACGCAAAAAATTAACCATCAGAGCCTGTCCGCATGTTGTTTAACCTTCTGAGCCTCAGTTTTCTCACCTATAAAATGGGGTAAGAAGACCTGCTTGAAGGGTTGTTTTGAGTTCACATGAGAAGTGTCCAGTGGAGTGCCTGGTGCATAGTAGGCATGCACTGAAAAAGAGGTTTTATTGGGGCCGGCCCCGTGGCCCAGTGGTTAAGTCCTCATGCTCCGCTTCGGCGGCTCAAGGTTTTGCTGGGTCAGATACCAGGCGTGGACATGGCACCGCTCGTCAGGCCGCTGAGGCGATGTCCCACATGCCACAACCAGAGGCACCGACAACTAGAATATACAACTGTGTACTGGGGGGCTTTGGGGAGAGGAAGAAGGAAAACAAAAAGATTGGCAACAGTTGTTAGCTCAGGTGCCGATCTTTAAAAAAAAAAAATGGTTTTATTGGTACAAACTCACAGCCTTTGCAGGGAAGTCATGTTTAGGTTCAGGTCCCAGTCCCACCAGGTGTTAGACAGGTGACCTTGGGCAGAGCACTTAACCTCAGCCATCCTGCGTTTCCTCGTCTTTACATAGTGGCACTTACTGTCTTCCAAGGTGATGTGAAATGCTACTACCAAGCATGAAGACATGTGCTCTGCGCTTAGTGGGGCTGGTGAACGCCAATTCTTGCCCCTTCCCTCCGCAGGGTGGTAGCGGCAGGCCCTCAGGAGATGTTTGGGAGGTCAGGCAGGGTGTGGCTAGGTGGCAGCTCAGAGACATGGCTCAGGGCCCAGATGATGGCTGTCAGGTGAGCAAGTGCATTTCCTGAGAGCAGAGGAAGGGGCTGGGTGAGAGGGCGGTGCTGGGCTGGCCTGGGAGAGCAGCTCTGCAGGCGGACAGCCATCAGATGGCAAGCCCAGCGTCTCTCCCGGCCAGCATGCCTGAGGAGCACCAAGGCGGGGCTCTGGGTTGGGGGGAGGGCCTCTTGGAACCCCAGTATCCCACCAGGAGGTCATGGGGGAGGTGGTGGGACCATCAGAACCGGGTCCCTAGAATTCTGCCATCATTACTTTTGGATAGGAAGTGATGGTGATTTGAGGATAAACCCTTAAGCCAGGTGGTCAGTCAGGAAGAGACAGAACCTTTGTCTTTGGAAAACCCACCCCCAAACTACCACCACTCCATAACCCCAATATATGCACTCCACAACTAAACCTAGCCCTGTAGGATGTGTCCATTTCTGCCCACCCAGCCCCTCAGCTCCTTTCTGTGCTTGTGTCAGTTCTTGAGTTCTCTTATTCCTCTCAAATAGGCAGAGGGTGCCCTTGTCCCATTACCCTGCCACTGCCAGGCCCCCCTGCCCACTCCCAAGTTCAGCAGCCTACGCCTGTTCACCGCTGGGGGCAGGACCTCTCCCAGGGCTCTGTATCTCTTCCTGACTGGGGCACCTCTGGGACACTCGCCCTGGGTTTCTCCTCTCAACCCAGAGCTCTGCTGCCTGGGTGGCTAGTGGAGCTTGGCCACCTTGGCTTCTTCCAGGGTTCCCGGTGCTCCTGACGTCCTGAGCCGAGGGCCAGCAGCAGGCGAGGATTAGCGAAAGGAGGCGAGGTCTTGTTCTGGGGGCTCTCTGGGCCTCGGAAACAGAGTTTGGGTTTGGGCTTCTGTGAAGCTGTGGAGGAAGAGGGACAACAACTGGAAGAAGGAAGAGCATGGTCTCTGCCTGTGTGGGGCACACAGCTTGGAAAGCCACAGAATTGCGACCTTCTAATAAGCATCATCCTAACTTAAGTGGCTAATTTACACAGCACTCCCAAGTCCCAAGAACTTTCTCTCTGTTAACTCCTTTGCTTCTCCCTGTGACTCTCTGAGATAGATACTGTTGTCGTCTCCATTTTACAGAGGAGGAAACCGAGGCCCAGAGGGCAGAGCTGAGTTTTAAGCCCAGAACTCTGATTTGAACTCAGGCCATGTGGCTCCTGAGTCGCATTCTTACCCCCCATGTCTGCAGTTTCTGAGCACCTGGAAACCAACTTTGAGGTCATCCGAAGCCCTCACCTTTCAGCCCAGAGAGGGGAGCAGTCACTTTCCCTGATAGCCTCAAACCCGGGTGATGGCTCCTTCGTAGCCCTGCACCACTCTGCCTCCCCTCAGCTGGCGCTGCCGCTCACGATGGTTGCTCTAGTTTTCTTACCTCATTTAATTGAAGGTAGGGTCTGGGTCCTGCCCTGCACACAGGAGGTGCTCATCAAATGTCCGCTGAATCAAAAGAGAGGGTAGCTTTGCCACGTGCAGTGCCAACAGCAGCCAAATGCCCAGACACCTGCTAAGCCTCCAGGGCCACGAGGGAGAATGAGGAGGGCACCTCCAAGAGGTGGGAACAGTCCGGGGTGATTGTCACTGTGAACAAGACTCAGTGGTGGAGGTGGGCTTTGAGATCGAAAGGAACGTGTTTAGAGACGTTCCGAGTCTAGCAGAGGAGGCACAAATGCAAGCCACAAAAACATCTCTGCTTACAAGAAGAGCCACAAAGCAAACATGTACACAGACCACACAGGTCAGAGAAGGAAGTGCCGGAAACCTTCCCTGCCCAGCTTTGGAGCGGGTCTCTGCAGAGGGTGTTTACGTGTCACCTTGTTTTCTCCCAACAACTGGTAATGTGAGTTCGATTGCCCCTATTATGATGCCTCCAGGAGTGGCGGACCCTGCCCAGCCCCTCCAGCCAGTTGGTGCTGAGGCCAGGACGCCCAGGCAGCCTGAGGACCGCGTATTCCACAGAGTCCCTGAGGGCCTGCTCCGCGTCCCTCAGCAGTGCCCTGGTGGACAGAGTCCTGCCCTGTGGCCCTTACATTCTAGTGGGCCACCCAACACTGAGTAAACACACACAGACTGTCAGGTGGTGACAGAAGCTGCTGAGAACATCAAAGCCACTTTGCCCTCTCCGGCTGCAGGCTTCCCCCGCAGCACCAGGCCCAGGAAGTGGAGAGAGCCCACTGTCCCCCGTCTGTGTGCTGAGGGGGCCATTACATCCCTTTGACTGAAGGTTAGGAGCTAAGGCTCTGGGACAGGACAGGCCGTTTTAGGAACCAGGGACTGTCACCCCTACCCTCACCAGCCCAGGAAGGGAGCAGGCTGCTGGGTCATCTCTGCTGAGATCTGGTGCTTTTCCTCCACCTTCTGTGACTGGGATGGGGTCTGGCTGGAGGCTTTCCTGCTGTCACTCCTAGGGCCCTAGGTGGGGCTGGGGGAGTGGGGTGGGAGGTGTGGGAGGAGTGGAGTGTGCTTTGGTCTGGGGACGTTATTCCATAGTAGGGTAATCAAGATCTTTTGCAGAGACTGTATTCTGTATTGTAGAGAGAGAGGAATGCAGCCTGGAAAATGTTAAGTCTGTGCTCATCGGCATGGCTTGGGTCTCCCTAAGGTGCTGCTCCCTAAGCACCTCTGGTTTGGGTTTGGCCCCTGCCCCTGAGGAGGTTGCTCAGTCATCAGGGAAGAGAGGAGAGAATATCCGATTGGCAGTCAGCATGGCAGAGGCAGGACAGGTGGCATATGGGGTCATGCAACTGGCACTGGGCTGTGAGTCAGGAGACTGGGGCTCAGTGCAGGTCCCCTTTCCAAGGAAAGGGCTAATTTCTGAGTGTGCAAGGGAGCGATTCAGAAGAGACTCCCAGTGCTTCTTCCTAAGTCGTCTGACAGCACATATACCCCCACGTCATTGCCATGGCCCACACTCTCAACAGCTAGTTCAAACATCTGTACCTTTAATAGAAAAAACTTGGGGAAATCGTATGCTGCCCACTCAACATGACTGATACCTGTGCTCTTTCTACTCAAGAAGTTTCATGGGATTGAACTTGAGCTTCTCGAGAGACCCTTCACAGCATCTCTGGAGTCCATGCAAGAATTGAATTTCGGGGGGCTCAGGGGTTCTGCAGATGTCTGCACTTCTGCAGAACACACTTCACACAACCCCATGTGGGCCCACACAGTGGAGCCTCTTATGCCAGGAGAGGCACTTCCTGAGGACAGACTAAAGAGATTCTGTCTGCTTTCTTCCTCTTGCTCCCCTCCTCCCAAAACACAATCGTCCGCCCACACCCTCTCCTCCTCAACCGTGAGTTCAGCCCACGAAGGCTCTGACTTACACCAGATAGTAATAGCTGCCGTTTCCAGAACACCTGCCATGAGTCAGGTCTGGGGGAAGTGTTTGGAAACTTTTTGCCATCCTCCCAGAGGAGCTGTCCTTAACCCTGTGTTCTAGATGAAGAAACTGATCCTGAGAAAGGTTGACTCCCCGGAGACACATAGCTCTTAAGTGGCTGAGCCGAGGGCTATGTGATTCAGAAACGTGGGCTCTTCCCGCCACCTTGCTGCCCTGTGGGCTCTAGTCACCTCCCCTGGCCCCCAGGCCCAGCAGAATATGAAGCCACCCCTGTGTTGTGTGTGTGCAGACCTCTCCCGGAGCTCCTCGCCACCGTCACTGCTGGACCAGCTGCAAATGGGCTGTGACGGGGCCTCGTGCGGGAGCCTCAACATGGAGTGCCGCGTGTGTGGGGACAAGGCATCAGGCTTCCACTACGGTGTTCACGCATGCGAGGGGTGCAAGGTATGGGCAATGGGGGGTGCTGGCTGGCCTTCAGGCTGTGGTCATATGGTGAGTTGACCTGCCAGTCTTTCCCTGGTGTGGGGCGGGGCCCCGACAATACCCTCTGGGCGATCCCCACCTGGGAGGCAGCCAGGCCCTGGGGCCCATTCCAGGCCTCAGCTCTGGGTCCTGGTGGAGAGGAGGGGTCCCTTTGTCAGAGCTTCCCTGCTGGGCACCTGCCCCGCTAACAGAGGCACTCACCTGGGCTCTCTTGGCTTCTGATAGCCCCTAGGGACCTGGCTCAAGAGGGCGGCAGGACAGAATGATGTCTTGAGCGGGGCCATCTTTCTGAGGTCAGGGTTTTCTGTGCCTCAAGGCCTGAAGGAGCCTCTTTAAAAAAAAAAATGGAAAGTTACATTTCTTTTTCCAGTGGTGCTTTTGGGTTCTTCTTCCTAATGGTACACCCATCAAAATTTCACATAGTACTGTGTTAAACCACTACCTGGAAAATACCCAGAACTAGACACATTTATGAATAAATCAAGTTAGCTACCATACAATTTCCTGTCACCAAACTAACAAAGAAGCATTTGAAATAAATACGGTATATATCATTTTAATTATTGCAAAAGTTTTAGAGTTAGTCTTCTTCTCCCTCTTCCCTCCGGGAAAATTTCCCATTACGTCCAAATGTCAGGAGTTTTTACATTTTTATGCATAATTGGGCCTCCTGGCGCAACCCAGTGGGCAGAGCAGGACTCTCAGCCTCTCGCCTCCTTGTGGCTCTCCCTCACCTGTTCGCTGCTCCTCAGGGCTTCTTCCGTCGGACGATCCGTATGAAGCTGGAATATGAGAAGTGTGCGCGGAGCTGCAAGATCCAGAAGAAGAACCGCAACAAGTGCCAGTACTGCCGCTTCCAGAAGTGCCTGGCGCTGGGCATGTCGCACAACGGTGAGCCGCCCGGGCGTGGCTCACGCGGCCGGAAGGCCAGGCTTCAGGGAGCCCAGAAAGGGGGTGCCCTCATCAGTGCCTGGCATGTAGGAAGCACTGCGTAAATGTCAGCTGTTGACCTTGCTGGCCTGGATCCTGAGTCTTGGAGCCAGCACAAGCTGGCCTAAAGTCTTCCTTCCCCACACCGCCCAGTGTCCATCGTGGGTCCCAGGCTTGGAGCCATCTCCGCCTGTCTGTACCTGAGGCTCACCCTCTCTGGCCTGGAGGGGAACTGGGAATTGACCCCAGCTCCAGTGGTGTTGGAAACCATTCCCAGAGCCTCAAGCCTGTCTCAGATGACCCGGCACAATGTGAAAAGCCACTGCCAAGGCCTGGGATCCCCTCAGCCCTTCTTGGTTATTAAGGGTGGGTAGGAGCCAGGTGGGAGTTTCCTGGAGGCCAGCCATGCCCAGGAGACAGAGCCTGCCCTGCACTGTGCTCCAGACCTCCTCAGAGTCTCGTCTTCAGACCTCATAAAGTAGGATTTTGCAAACCCCACCTGCCTCCTCTTTACCCCTCTAGGTTAGATGCCCAGAGGACAGGGGAGAGCCTCCTGTTTAAACATTTCCACCCACAGACACCCTAACTGTCACTGTCTTGCATCTTAGAGGGTGGCAGGATCTGAGTGCTCCGTCGCAGCTTTTCCTAGGTGATAGGGTCTGGGGGTTTGATCCCTCCCCTCAGTCTGTATCTACCTGCGCCCCACTCCCTGGGAGGGGGAGAGGATTTCCTAGGAGATCTCAGGGCTGGCTGAATTCTCGTTTGTCCTCGGAGAAGCCAGATTCGTGTCCTGTTCCGTTCCTAATGACTGCAGTTTCTGAGAACTTACTTTGTGAATACTCTCATTTAGTTGTTCTGACAACCCGTGAGATTTAAGTATTAGCCCCATTTTTCTTAAGAAGAAAGGTGAAGTAGGCTCCCAGAGTCACACGGCCGGTAAGCTGCCAAGCTAGGACTCAAGCACGGGCCTTTTCACCAAAGCCTGTCTCCCTGCCTGCCATGCTCCCCCAGCCCCCAGCCAGAGGGGTCAGTCACTGTGCGTTAAGGCCCTGGTGTGCCGCGCCCTGTGAACAAGACAGAGTCCTGTCCTCCTGGAGCTTCTGTTCTGGAGGGGTTCCCCCACGTTCTGACTGGCTGGCTCTAGAGCTTTTGAGGACCCTGGGCTCAAAAAGTGTGTCTCCGTCCTTGGGGATCAAGGAGGTTAGAGGTGCTGGCCCCTGCCTGGGCTCCCCGGTGACTGTCCCCCCACCTCTGCAGCCATCCGCTTTGGCCGGATGCCAGAGGCCGAGAAGAGGAAGCTGGTGGCAGGGCTGACAGCAAGTGAGGCGAGTCAGCACAACCCACAGGTAGCTGACCTGAAGGCCTTCTCCAAGCACATCTACAATGCCTACCTGAAAAACTTCAACATGACCAAAAAGAAGGCCCGCGGCATCCTCACCGGCAAGGCCAGCCACTCGGCGGTGAGTGTTACTGCTCGGCCTGGCAGCATCCCAGGCTCTGGGCCCCACTGCCACCTGCCCGACTCCTGGGAGAACCAGGCCTCCTTCCTCCCCTAAGTTCATGGTACAGGCAGGGTATGGGGAGCACATGGGCGGGAGTCCCCCAAGGCCTGGCCTCTAATGGGGCCTGGTTTTCAGCCCTTTGTGATCCACGACATCGAGACATTGTGGCAGGCAGAGAAAGGCCTGGTGTGGAAGCAGCTGGTGAATGGCCTGCCACCCTACAAGGAGATCAGCGTGCATGTCTTCTACCGCTGCCAGTGCACCTCGGTGGAGACCGTGCGTGAGCTCACCGAGTTCGCCAAGAGCATCCCCAGCTTCAGCAACCTCTTCCTCAACGACCAGGTGACCCTTCTCAAGTATGGCGTGCATGAGGCCATCTTCGCCATGCTGGCTTCCATCATCAACAAGGATGGGCTGCTGGTGGCCAGTGGCACTGGTTTTGTCACTCGTGAGTTCCTACGCAGCCTCCGAAAGCCCTTTGGTGACATCTTGGAGCCCAAGTTCGAGTTTGCTATCAAGTTCAATGCCCTGGAACTTGATGACAGTGACCTGGCCCTCTTCATTGCAGCCATCATTCTGTGTGGAGGTAAGTGAGGGTGGGGCGTGTGGGCCGGTCCCCATAGCCAGCCCTCCTGGGGCTTGGGCTCTCACTGCAGGGGGCACAGCCTAAGCTGGGACAGCATGGGGCAGTGTCCATGTGATGATGATGGCAGTGGAATGTGCGAGGCACTCAGTGTACATGCAGGAGCAGCTCCGTCTTGTACAGATGGAGTTGAGATAGAAAAAAGACTGAAAGGAAATACGCCAACATGTTGATGGGGGTTGTTTCTGGTGTTGGAGAAATTTTCTGTATTTTACCTGCGGTTTTCAAATTCTGACACCATAAATATAATAATCATGCTAACAGTGGCATAGAGCTTACTTCATGCCAGGCACTGTTCTAGTACCTTTTCTGAGATTATACTCATTTGTTCCTCACAATAACCCTGTGCGGAAGGTACTTCTGTTATCCCCGTTTTACAGATGAAGAAACTGAAGTCCAGAGAGGCCGAGTGACCTGTACGTAGCCTCATCTCTAGTCTGTGGTAAAGACAGGATTTGAATCCAGGCAGTAGGCCAGCCGGGTGGCACAGCGGTTAAGTTCGCACATTCCACTTCGGCAGCCGGGCCGTCGCCAGTTCACATCCCAGGCGCGGACCTACCCACTGCTTGGCAAGCCATGCTGTGGCAGGCATCCCCCGTATAAAGTGGAGGAAGATGGGCACGGATGTGAGCTCAGGGCCAGTCTTCCTCAGCAAAAACAGGAGGATTGGTGGCAGATGTTAGCTCAGGGCTAATTTTCCTCAAAAAAAAAAAAAATGAATCCAGGCAGTGAGTTTCTTAACTACAATACTATCCTGCCTAGTCAGGAAAGAAACAAAACAAAACAAAGGAGGCGGGCCAGGAGGAGGGCTCTGGGGACTAGAGCAGTCAGTGGGGCCGTCACTGACAGGGCAGGGCTTGGGTCTGTCACAGCAAGGAGGCCTGCGGTGCCCTGGGCCAAGTCACCCATGCGAGGTGGGCGTAGGGGGGTTCCCCTGCCCTTCTGAGACCTCACGTGCCTGTTCCCTCCCACACGTCTTCCCTGTGTCCCCACAGACCGGCCAGGCCTTATGAACGTGCCACAAGTGGAGGCCATCCAGGACACCATCCTGCGTGCCCTCGAGTTCCACCTGCAGGCCAACCACCCCGACGCCCAGTACCTCTTCCCCAAGCTGCTGCAGAAGATGGCTGACCTGCGGCAGCTGGTCACCGAGCACGCCCAGATGATGCAGCGCATCAAGAAGACTGAGACCGAGACCTTGCTGCACCCCCTGCTCCAGGAGATCTACAAGGACATGTACTGAGGGATGTGCCCAGGGCCTCCCGGCAGGCCTCCAGGAGACTGAGACTCGGGGGCTGGGGGACAGAGCTGGCACAGGCGCCACTCACGGGACTTTCCTGTTGGCCAGCCCCTGGGCGCTCAGCACGGCACCCGAGCAGTGGGGTCACGCCCCCGTGTGCTCAGACACAGGGCCTCTCGCTCCTGATCGTTTTCCCTTCCTCTGTCTCCCTCTTGCTCACTTCCTCTTTCCTCTCTAGTCTCTGCTCATTCTCTTCCTTTGTCTCTATAGGTTCCTTTTCCCTCTTCCCTCCTCCCTCACCTCCCTTTCTCTCTCTCCATTCCCACATCTGTCCCTGTCTCTTTCTGTGAGACAGTTTGTACTATTTCACCAGCGGCATAGAACACGACCTCTGCTTTTGCCCCCCTTGCTCCCCGGAGCAGGAGGAAGTGGGGCCTGCCCTCTGCACCAACAGTCACCTGCAAGGGTAAGGGCCTCACTTCTGCTCCTGTCTTCACAGTGAGGGACTCGAGTCATCCAAAGAAACACTAAGCTCTCTGGGCCCGGCTCCCTGGGGACGCCACGCAGGGTCTAGGCTGACTGCAGCAGCACCTAGTCCCTGGGTCCCTCCTCGAGGGCCAGGACGCCTCCCCAAGACTGTCACCACCCTTCGGGGGCTGGCGCCCCCTGACCCAGCCAGCGCCAGCCAGCAGCACAGCCCCGCCCCACTGATACCCAGCGCTCTTTCATTCTTTTCACTGGTATTCCAGGCCAGTGTTGCTGATCGCCCCCTGCGCTGGCCGCTGGGGGACACCCCCCAGCCTGGAAGGAGGTAGGGTTCCCTCCAGGTGGGGGCCCCCATCCCCCATTGGAGAGGAGTGAGTCTCAAGGGAGGTGGAGGTTGGTAGGGAAGGCAGCCAGCAGTACACTTAATTCTGACCCCAGGCCTTGGGGTCGGCCCCCATCATGCTTTCCCACCACTCTGCAGCAGCCACCGAGTCCTGCCTCCGTTGTGTCAGCACTGCAGCTCCCACTCAGTGCCAGGGCCTGGCCTCAAATGTGACGCTCCTTTCTCCAGCCGGGAGGCACGGCACTGGCTCCAGCCTGGCTGAGGCTCACGCCCCCGACACATGCACGCACACACTCCATGGAGCTGCCTCTCCAGCACACACCACAGGCACTGAGGTCACTTTACCTGCAGCTTCCACACACAGCCGCCCCCAGACAGGTGGGCACTCAGAGGGACCAACAGGTGGACGGGCAGAGCCCTGACCTGCCCCAGGGCTGTGCCAGATCCCTTGGTGGGCAGAGGTGTCCTGCTGAGTCAGCTCACTGGGGGAGGTGCCAGGGGTGAACTGATCCTACTCATTGTGACACTCATTTGTCCCAGCAATTCTGCTGCCCTTCTTTCCCCTGTATTTGGCCCAGCTGGTCATGTGGCCTCTGGGGACCAGGGGCCTTGCCAGGCCCAGCCCACCCCTCTGGCCCGTTCCCCTACCCTCCCTCTCCGCCCAAGTGAAGTGCACTTGCCTTGGAGGAGGGCTCAAGCCTAGCGCAAGGGCTTTGTCTGAGCAGGAGGGCAGAGCCCGCCCAGGCTGCTTTTCCAGGCAGCAGACTGGCTGGGGTCTCTGAGAATGGCGGTGGAAGATGTGTGGTTAGAGCCCAGGCTTCCTGGGTCCTGTCTGGTCCTCCTTCCCGAGGGGCCTTTCCTTCTCTGCCCCAGGACCACTCTCTACTGGCAAGATTCTCCCCTCTCCCCGCCCACCCTCGCTGACCAGGGACTTGGGTTGGGTGCATCCTTTGGGCCAGTGCTGTGAAGAAAGAGATGCTGTGCCTGACACACCGCCCCCCCCACCCCCCGCCGCCAGCCGTGTGCCCCTGTCCCCACCCCGGTCTGACGCCGAGAGTAGCACACAGCTCTTCTCAGTGTCTGAACAGTCTCCAAAACTGAAATGTATATTTTTGCTAGGAGCCCCAGCTTCCTGTGTTTTTAATATAAATAGTGTACACAGACTGACAGAACTTTAAATAAATGGGAATTAAATATTTAAGAGTTGATTTAGGCTGACACAGTTCTTTATGTGTTTTTCCTGAGCGCTCACAGGATCCCTCCCCGTCCTCCGTGTCCAGTGCGGAGGAGGAAACTTGGTTGGGCAAACAAGACTTTAGGGTGCTGGCCGGGAGGGTGAGTTCCGGCCTGTGGGAGCTCCCATCATGCCCTCGCCTCCTGCCCTGCTCCCACTCCTCCATCAGCAAGGGCTGCAGGGCACTGAGAAGATGTCTTTCCTGCCCCGCCAGGGGAATTTAGGGTGGGAGGGGGAGAAAGGACGCACTCTGGGAAGGAGGTGTGGTGCCACGGCACAAACCGGGGTTGGGTGTGCAGGTTCTTGGAGGGCCTCAGAAGGATCCTGGAGGAGGTGACCCTCTCTGGTGGGGGGGCTTGCAAAGCCAAAGCCCATCAGTCACTGTCAGCTTTTTGCCACCCTCACGAGAGAGCAGGGCTTTCCTCTCCTTAGCCAACGCCCCAGTTTTCTCTTCTCGCAGGGGTGCCACCTTCACAGAGTCTCCAGGCAAGCCCAGCCCTCGGCAGCCATCCTCTGGCTGCAGTGTGAGGCAAGCTCAAGGAACGTTACAGCGCTTTCTAGCCAGGGGAACAACCACCGCTAAAATATTTCAAGATGGGGCATTTACCTCAGGGGATTCTTAGGAAAGTATTGAAAGGACTGAAAGATCCAAAGAGGGAAAACAGGTCATCCAGACATCAGTGACCGGGAAGCCACTCAGCTCCAGGGCTGGGGGGGAAAGTGTTATCTAGAGGCCACCATCCCTGGAATACCCGCTGACCCTGCAGAAAGCCCGCCGCCTGTCGATTTGCCTGTAGAGTCAGAGCCCATGCACACTGTACACGTGGGGCTGCCAGGGTGCTCGCAGCCACCACCACTGCTGCTACCCCTGGGACCTCATCACTTGAGCAAGAAGCCTGGAGTTGGGACGCAGCTGCTCCTGCCAGAAGTGCCATCCGTGTTTGGGGGTGGAGGGGCAGCTTCTCCCTTCTTCCTGTCTTCCAGTCTGTTGCCCATACCTTCCATTGAAAAAACAACAGTAAGGGAGTCTAGGAAATGTAGTTTGCAGACTTGCAGCCCTTGCTGTGTAGAGGAGTGCCTGGAAGAGTAGACATGGATCCAAAAGCCAGCAAATAACTCGCACACAGTACAAACCCCAGCCCCAGCTGAGCTCTCTCAGGTTGAGGCTCGCAGCTTAAGGCGGTGGTCAAATCTGACACTTGCCTCCCTGTTTTCTCTTTCGCTGGCCAGGTAGACAGAGCAATCCGAACTCTGTCGAGTCTCAGATGGTTCCTCTCAGACAGGAGAGCGACGTTCCTAAGGGAATGGGAGGGAAAGAGGAGGCGGCTTGCTTAGATCGGGGGCATCTCTGAAATTGGTAGTCTTGCTTATGATGGAATCTTCCGGTTTGCTTGGTTTATTTTTCTCACCTCCCTATCTTTTCCCACACCACCATCAGGTGGGAGAAAAATAGTTGAAGACTGTGGCTCAGTTGTTAAAAGCCAGTCCTCTTTCGATCACTAACGAGGTAAGATCAGAGGATGCCAAACAGCTAGATGTAGCTCAGTTCAGAGAGCTGAAGCTAAGTCTCCGTACCGCTTTATTCACCTGGCTTCTGGGGCTGCAGAGAGCTAGCATCGTGTTACTCTGGCCCCTTGTTAGGACTATCACTAAGTGATAATCTTTATTAAGCACCTATTTTGTGCCAGACACTATACATACATCACCTCCAATCCTCACCAGGACCCCATAAGGTAAATATTACCACCCGCCATCTTACAGGTGAGGAAGCAATGAGAGGTTAGGGAGTGTGCGTGGGGTTAGGCAGCCAGGAAGAGGCACAGCCAGTACTGGTCCAGGGCCTTAGCATCTCTGCTTTCCACTTAGGAGCAAAACCTTGGGGACAATAGTTGGTCACCTGGTCTCTTTTTAATGATATTCAGGACAAATGAATCAAATATTTAGACTAAAAAAGAAGAAAGCAACCTTAAGACAATTAGAAGATAGTATTCCAATAATTCTGTAAAACTCTTCTGAAATAAAAAGTTTATTTTTTTAAAAAAAAAAGGGGGAAGAAAGAAATGGGATCCAAGGATGGTAATATCCCCAGGGAGCCTGGAAGAAGACGATGCAGAACGTATCTGGAGGACAGATAGAGGCGGTCCAGAATTCCCACAAAATGACAAACGTGAGGAGACGAGCCTGCGTGAAAACAAATAGACATAACAACCAGTGAAATTAGAGCCCCAGGGCTTCCAAAATATGATGAATGATTATAGGAGAGAAATAAGTTTTATATTATTAAGAATATAAAGAAATCAAAACCATAAGAAAGGAACGATTTGCTTCTTTTAAAAAAAAATCTTTAAAGAAATTCTTGGAACTTCCAGAAAAAAAGAAAAGAAAATGAGTCAAAAAACAGATGAGACACAGTCGAAGAGATGATTTTTGCACCTCAAGAAAGATCTGAAGACATTATCCAAAAGATAGCACAGGAAAAGCAAGATAGAAGTTGTGGAACAGAAGAATAGAGTACACATTCTCAGACGCTGCACAAGGCGGTAGAAGTTGGTATAATCAACTTGAAAAACAATTTGGCAAAATCTCGTAAAGTTAAAATGTGCCGGTGGATGCTGCGGGGCGTCACTGGCTCCCACCCCTCCCAACCCAGACGCTAATTTCCATGGCTGCCGAGCTCACAGCTGAGCTCCTCCCGGCAAATTGCCTTTACTGGAGGGTGCTGCCCCGCCCAGGACAAGCACACCCACACTGCCTCCTCAGGGGCAGCCCATAGCCAACACAGGCAGACGAGGCCAAGCCTCCTTTGCCCCAATTTGGGACAACTTGAAGGATCAGCACAGCTCCACAGCTGACGCTTCTGTCTCAACTGCCTTGTGGTTTAACTTCTCTCTCTCCCCAACCCTGCTTCCTTCAATCCCTTACAGGTGTTGTTCCACAGAGCACGCCCCATGATCTTCTGCAAGCAAACCTCCAAATCTATTTCCTGGAGTGGGCAACTTCACACAATACCCTAGGGTGAAACCCACCAAATTACATCGAGCCTCGTGTACATGTTCATTGCAGCAACAGCAGAAACTTGGAAACAACAAAAATGTTCATCAACAGGAAAATGGATAAACTTGACATATTTATACAACGTTTAAAAAAAAAAACCAGAAGAAATAGATGGAAAAAAATTTTTATATAATCTTGAAGTGGATAGACCTTTCAAAAGTCTATCATAAAATGTTTTTGTCACACAAAAAAATTTTAAATCAACCATGTAAAAAAATTTGTGACATAATCAAAGGGCTAATTTCCTTAATATGTAAAGAGTACCTACAAATCAATGAGTAAAAGGTCAACAACCTGATAGAAGAATGGGCAAAGGATATAAACAGAGAAAGTAACACCTCTCGACCCACATACGAAATAGAGGAAGATTGGCACGGATGTTAGCTCAGGGATAATCGTCCTCAAGCAGAAAAAAAGAAGATTGGCAACAGATGTTAGCTCAGGGCAAATCTTCCTCACACACACACAAATATGTCCTTAAACTTTCAAGTGCATATCTCTTATTTAGTCTTTTTGAACTTCCCCAACTTACCTCCCATGTGGGGCAGTGCAGCCTAGTGGAGAGAGCATGGGCTTTCGGGGAGCAGTAAGATGAGAATTGAGGGAGGGGTCTTAGGAATAGTCAGAGTTGGAAGGGCTCTTACCCTACCCCTACCTCCCACCCTCGGTGGCCCCAGCCGTTATTCTCCCCACTGCAATCTCTGAATGTACCAGGCATTTACACTGCCCGAGAGAGGCTCTGATTGGCTGGTTTGCTACCATTTAATCTGGAATGTCCTCATGGACAGAGCTCCAGGCAAGCTCCCTCCCGGCCCCTCTCATGGTGGCCCTCACTGAGGCCTCCACACTCTTCCAATTCTTTGTGATCAGGGTAGCAAGTGGCTTCATTGACAGACACAGACCAGGCCACAGTGACTTTTCATAGAAAGAACATCTTGGGCCTGGAAGCCGGTCCCCCGGGGCCTCTTGCATCTGTCCATACATGCCACTCTGGAACAGCCCCCCCTGGGCCCCGCGTCAGGCTCACACTACCCCCTGGAGGCTCGGAAGGCTCCCAGCTCGCCCTCTGATCTCTCTGACAACCTCAGCTCCACATATGGGGTTTATGCAGCCCTTGGGGTGAGAGAGGCTCCCCCTGGCCTCCTCAGTTAGAAATTCCCCTCATATATCACAAGTTACTTCTCCCAGGATCCCAGCCTCCCAAGTCCTTGGGTCCTCAGTCCCAGGTCCTCATGACCCCCTCCCAAGCCACCCCACCTTCTTGGACCCTTAAAGTTCTTAAACCATGCCCCAATTTCCTCCTGAAATCATTCAGGGATCTCTGAGGGCCTTCATGCCCCACCCCACCCACATCCTGGAGCCTGGACTGGGCGGCAGAGGCCCCAGGCTCCCAGCCGTCCTGCCTCCACCCTCTCGCCTGCCTCCAGGCCTGGGGCCACGGGAAGGGGCAGGCCTGGCCGCAGGGCCCCTCCTCCCTTTGGCCCTGCCGGGAAAGGGAGGGATAAAGGAGCACCAGAGGAAGCCTGCCTGATTCTCACTAGGGCCTGTGGCCAGCATGGATCCTGGAGGGCTGGATGGCAGCGGCCGTGGCAGGGAGAGCAGCCCCCACTCCCAGCGGCCACGCAGGTAGGGGTCTTGCTCTCACGGGAACACAGGGAAGGTGGGAGAAAACACTTTGGGGTTTGGCCCGGCCATTAAAAGCCTAGTCTCTAGGAACTTGGGGTGCCTCTAGGGGAGGAGGGAGTTCCTTGCCCTCTACCCCAGCTTGGGAAGGGTCTAGGTCATCTGCCACTCCCTCATAGTCCAGAGGAGGAGACTGAGACCAGAGAGGGGAAAAAATATACCAAGGTTGCACAGCTTAGTCAGGGCCAGCTCAGGGTCTGACCATTTAGGGCAAGGATTCCTCTCTTGCCTTCTTTC